TTTGCACCTGCAGCAAGTCGAATAGTCCCAAAAAATTTCTATAAAAAAAATTATACTTGTAATATAACACATAATTTGTACAGACTAAAATATTTTATACTTCTAAATTATCTTGTGTAATTTTTCCTGTTAGTATATAACTAAAGTTAAACTCTTCGATCAAGTATTTTATAATTTCAATAGTTGAGTTTAAAGTGACTCTTAATCCTTCTGCGGTATTGTCTGATAAGAATTGATCTTGTTGCACTTCTCCAGTTTCAACTTTTAGTTCCCAATTATTTAACCATAACAATGATTCTTGTAATATCTGTGTTTATTTTAAAACATTGAATTACATTTTTGTGATTAGAAACATTACTCACAATATACATTTTTTAAACATAAACAATAAACATATACCAAGTTAAGGTTAATTATATGACCTATGTTATTACAAAAACTAGGTACCTACTTATTTAATTTACATATATATGTGTTATAAAATAAGAATAAGGTGTATATTYAATATCACCAATCACTTAGCCACAAAAATGATTCTTGCAATATTTGCATTTAAAAATGTAATTAAATTTATTGAATTCATTTTTACCAACACCAATTAAACATATAATTAWCACACAATATCTATAATTACAACCCCCAAAGCAACATTTAACACAAAACACAGAAAACAWGTATTGAGGAATATTACTGCTCATTCTAACTTTGTAATCATTAGATTCTAGGTTTACACCTTGAAATGGAATTTTTCTATTTAAAGCGTCAAATATTTCATTGAAACGCAAACAAAAATTGATTGTTGAATCACAATCTTCTAAGCCATTTATTTTTCTTTCTTTTAACATTGTAAGRCCGATTGCAACTGAATTACTTAATACCTTTTGAAATTGAAATTGAAATTATTAATAAAAAAATTAATATTGAAAATTTGAAAATGTTGAAGAAGGAATAAATAATAAATAAATTGTAATATACATTAACCTGTACAGCCAGCCGAACACGCATTTTTAATGACGAATTTCTCAAATCCAAATGATTGTCCGTTAATTTAGGACACAATCTAAGTTTTGTATTACTTATCATTTTATCATAATCATGCAAGATTTT